TTTCACTGGCTAGTCATACAAAGGAAATTGTACATCTGGTGTGGAATAGACCAAATACTGCCTGACTTTTCTGAATTACAGCAGCCAGATAAACGTCTGTTGTATCGATTCTACACTTCAGATGACTTTCAAAGATTGCTTAATAATAGCCAGTCCCCCCTGTCACAAGGACAGTGTCGTTTTAAGCTACAGATAAATTTGAAAGTTAAAAACAACATGTTCTATATGTGTAGTAATATATGGCTTGCTTTGGCATCACATTAATAATTGGAGTGATACAGAGATTTGCAATAATACCTTTGAGAACGGAAGAGAATGGAAAAATCAACTCAGATCAACTCAAATGAAACGTAATATTGAATATGTCCCACATTACTTGTCAATGAACGGCAGGCAGTTTAAGAGTACTCGTGTTTTCAACACATACTCATCACGTGCAGCATTGAAAACAGGCATTTTCTAACCCTCTCACTGGCTAGTCATACAAAGAAAATTGTACATCTGGTGTAGAATATTGCAAAATATGGAACGCTTCACGAATTTGCGTGTCATCCTTGCGCAGGGGCCATGCTAATCTTCTCTGTATCGTTCCAATTTTAGTATATGTGCTGCCGAAGCGAGCACGATAGTCAGAGCTGGCCAAGCTCCTTATGTACTGCGTCCCCCCGTATACTTTCATGTTGATGGGTGGGCGCATACAGCTTGTAGTACTACTATTTCATTAATTAAAGCTTAAAATTTACCAACTACTACATTTTCTTACATGGATGGTTTATTTTACAATTGCTTACATCTAAAAATGAATCATTTTCTTGTATTATTTCTTCTTTTCTTCTATTATTTTTCTCTTGGCAGATCCAGTGCAGCATTCTGGGAAGGATGCAAATTCGAATCCTCTTCTGAGTAATTTATTGGTCGACTGGGAGAGGAATCCAGTAGGTGTCGATGACAACTTCCTGCCAGTTTCTTGCTGGGATATCCAACTTCCTGTTTAATGGTGGTCGGCAAACACAATGGAGCAATCGGGGTTGTTGTTCAGCTGTTCTCTCAAAAATCTTCCACAAATGACCATGGCACATGTTACACGATCAGTGGAAAGCCGCATATCATCGAAAAAACTTGAAAAGGGGCACAAATATTTTCATAAAAATTCTTTTCAAAGGTGCAGGTAAGTGCTCTCTTGTTAATGCTACTTTGCTAGCTAGTATCACATGGCATGCTAATTTTAAGCAATTTTATTTCTTATTTCTTTGTTCTTTGTACATGATTAGTATCAAACGTGTTGAATATAGAGATTAGTGGTAAGATGCAGGTGTCACAGATAAATGAGGAAAAGAGAGGAACCACATTCCCTACAGATTTTGTGTAGCAGATTGGTGCTGGTTACCTCCCCGCCAAAGCAGCTCCACTCAGCTTTAATGTTTCTGTGTGTATGGCATTGCAAGAGCTTTGTGTCTAAAGTGAATAGTGTGTAATCTGCTTAAATTAGTAAATATTATTGTGATCGTAAATGTCACATAACTTGGTATGATAAGTTGC